ACGGAGGTTCAATTGTTCCAATTGTTGAAAAGATTATCCTTTCTCCATTAAATTGCGTCCGCAGCTTTGTCAAAAAACAATTGAAAAGAGGTTACATCAAGGAATAAACAGAGTGGAAAGGTCTAGGACTCCAGCCATCACTGGAAACAATAGTTGAACTGTCAGGAACTGTCTGAAGCAACTATTTTGGAGTCTAATAGAACACTTGCAGCAACAAGTGGAGGGTTCAGTGAAGAAGCTGGTCAATTGGTTTTAATGTGGTAGTAGCTACCATCTTTATTCTCCATCCTGGTGGCAGGCACCTATAGGGACAGCAGCCCACATCCTGGCACTGCTTTTTGGGCTCAGAATGAGCAACAAGGACCTTGTCCTCCCAAAATCAAGGTGGTAGCTTCTGATTGCTGGTTGCTGCTTTCCATCACTGGGCACAGAGATTGGCCATTGTTTCAGCCTCACAGGGAGAAGCAGCTTTCTAGCCATAAGAGGATTTAACTTTTTATTTAAAACCTATTTATTTATTTAGGATGTATTTTTCTCTCTTGGGAGCCAGACATTTAAGGAAATTTCATCATGTCACTAGCTGACCTTAGAAACAATGGAAGAGAAACTTCAGTGAACATACACAACAAGGAAAACACATTTTGCAAAAATTGTTTGGAAAAGTCACAAAAAGATGGATTTAGCCATCGGCAAGCAAAAACTAACTATCTCTAAAGAGTGGGAGAATTAGATCTTTGGAGCTACCACAACATGATATTCAGAATGTCCAGTTCTGAACAAAAAATTATAAAACATACAAAGAAACAGGAAAATGGCCAATTCACAAGAAAAAAATAATTTGACAGAAACCATCCCTAAGGAAGCTCTCAGACCTTGGAATTACAACTCAAAGGCATTAAATTAGCTACCTTAAATATGTTCAATGAACTAAAGGAAACCATGGAAAAGAAGTAAAGGAAATCAGGAAAATAATGTCTGAACAAAATAGTAATATCAATAAAGAGAAATTATAAAAGAAACATTTGAGTAGGCAGGAGAAAGGATCAATGAACATGAAGATAAGATACTTGAAAGTATCTAGTCTGAAGAGCAGAAAGAAAAAAGAATGAAGAAAAATAAATAGACCTAGAGATCTAGAGGATACCATCAAGCATACCAACATATCCATCATAGGAATCCAAGGAGAAGAGAGAAAGGGGCAGTAAAAAACTATTTGAGGAATAATGGCTGAAAATGTCCCATATCTGATGAAAAACATATCCAAGAAGCTCAAGGAATTCTAAGCAGGATAAGCTTGAAGAAATTCACAGAGATACATTAAATTCAAATTGTGGAAACTCAAAGACAAAAAAACGTTTTTTGAAAGCAAGAGAGAAATGACTTGTTATTTACAAGGAATCCTCAATAATATCAACAGCTGATTTCTTGTCAGAAATCATCGAGGCCAGAAGGCAATGGAATGACAAATTTAAAGCCCTAAAAGAAAAAACCCCTGCCAACTAAGAATTCTATATACAGCAAAATTATTCTTAAAGAATGAAGGAGAAAATAAGATACTTCAAGATAAACTTAAGCAGAGGGAGTTCATTACCTGTAGACCTACCCTACAATAAAGTTTGGCTTAGCTTTCCCTCTGCCTGGAAGGCTGTTGCTCCCCTTTCCAACCATGAGACACTATGTACTCTTTGCAAGTGTTTAAGCCATCTAAGATGTTCCCACCCCTTGTTCTGCCCAGAATCCCTTAGTTTCCATGCCCATCTATCTCAAGTCTTACCTATAGACTCAGTACAAATAGACATTTGTTAAAAGTGTGGGTAGAAGAGAGTTACCAGCACTAGTACACCCAGGACTCCTAAAAGCACCTGCCTTCTCCCTGCTATCTCCCTGCCACCCCCAGCTCCAGGCTCCAGGAATCCCTCTCTGGGAGTGGGCCACTCTGGCTCCTGAGGACCCTGGTTCATGGCTTCCCCTCCTGTTCTCCAATAGAAACCAAAGAGAGCTCTGAAAAGCATCAATCTAGCCAGTGCTGGGCGTAGACCCATCCAGCAACTTCCAGCTACACTCGGAATGTCATAGGTCACCAAGCCTTGTGGTCTGTCTGATTCCTCCCTCTGTGGCCACCTGGCCATTGTCCCCAATCCACAACCCTCCCACCCCATCTCCAGGTCTCCTCAGGCCTGCCTCCCTCTAATCAGAAGGTGTCACCAAATAGCCAGGCCTCTAGGCCTCTGCCCACCTGCTTGGTCCTCCCACTCACTACAGATGCCTTGCCTTGCCAGTAGCAGAGCTCCCTGGAGAAGGGGCCTCGGTCCGCCAGCTCCCCACTCCAAAGTCCAGAAAAGTGGGCTAGCAAGCATTTGCTGTCTTGAAATGATGTTAAAGCCTTTTTTTGTTTAATCCTGATTTCAAAAGTAAAACAATCATTATTGAAATTTTGGAAAAAACAAAAATTATAAAAATGTAAAAACCAAAATAAAAATCCAACCACCCAGAGATAATTATGATTCCAATTATAGTGATTCCTTTCAGCTTTTCCTGTCTGTGTAGAATATATGCATTTCTTTGCATATTTATACATTTACGCTTTCATATTTTGCTTTTGTCATTTAACATCATTTATCTTAAGTTTTTCCTCTGATTTTTATATTTTCTAATTATTTATATTTCCTAATTTTTCTTTCTATTTCTATTTAAACTTCCTAAAATTATTTGGGAACAGCATTTGCAAATGTTGAGTAAGATTCCAGCCCATGAATGACTCCAGCTAGTGGAGATCTAGGCTCTATTCTGTTGTTGACTACCATGGTTATTCCAGGATAACCACCTTCCTTATTCATTGTCCATGCTTCTTGTTATGTACAGTGACCAGATGTCCTGGTGTTTGCTTGTTGTCCCAGGTCAATCATTAAGGAACTGTTTTGGCCCTTGCTTACTCTCAAAGGTTATTGTTGAACAATAGATTACATTGACCCTCCTTAAGAGGGCTCAGAGGTACCCGGAGATGATAAGTGGTTGTCAGGGTGTGGGAGAGGAGGGCGGAGGTGGCTCCTGGATTCTGTTGTGGGCACCTGGGTGAAGGATGACAACGCCAATCCCTAGAACAAGGTCGAGCTTAGTGGGAATGCAGCGAGTTTTGGACACATTGAATCAGAAGTGTCCACGTGACTTTCCAGGGACATCGTCTGGGAGGTATCTGGAGATGCAGTCCTTGACACCAGAGGTTACTTGGTGTGTGAAGAGGTGCTGGTGACTCCCGCTCTTGCTTTCCTGAGGTCACTCAGCAGCTTGGTGGAAGGGTGAAGTCATCCAAGCATTTCAGCAATGCCTGTGTTAAGGCATCAGTGAACCGGTGGGGAGGAGGGGGAGGGACCACAGTTTCTGACAATTTTTCATGATCTTGCCCCTCTAAGCTTATCACACACACAGGTCTCAGATGGTCAACAATGAAATGCAGTGCTGTTGCAAATTGTACCTCAGTTCAAAAGTGATGGTGCTGGGGGACAGGAGGTGCATGGTAACCATCTCAGCTGAAGCTCCAGCTTGGCAGAGTTTACCTTTTCTAACCTCAAACCTCTGTCTCAGTCAGTAGCTCTGGGGCCCATCTGTGGAGAATCAGTGACGGGCCCACTCTCACTGATAGAGGAAGGATCTGGGGCCCAGAGAGGAGCTACCCTTGAAAGTCAAGGTCAGGCCTAAGGGATACATCCTAGAATTCAAGAGTAGAAAGAATAACACCAATTCCAAATCTATCCTCATGGTAACCCTAGGAGGGGGATGTCATCCTCCCCATTTGCAGATGAGAAAACAGAAGCTCAGAGAGAGGTGACGTTCCTTTGCCCAAGGTCACAGGTTGGCAGAGGCCAACTTTAATTCAAGTCTTTGCTTTCTGCTTCTCTGCCTACCACATTGCCTACTTCAGGGGGAAGTCCCCCTCCTATGCCCCTTTGTTGACACTTATAGAACCACCTGGTAAATTACAGCCTTCATTCAGTAAATGTGACAGACACATGATGACACCATCTTGGGAACAGGCCCTGGGCTGAAGATAGAAAGTTGAAGAGAACATGGCCCCAGACCTAAGGGGTTATAACCTAATGGGAGAACTACAAAGCAGCATGTCTCTATTGTTCAGATGAGAAAAATGAGGCCCCAGGAAGGGAGTGACTTACCCAAGCCCACTGTTCCTTCTTCCTTGGAAAAAAAAGGTCACCCAAAGTCAGCATCACCTAAATTGCTCACTCTCTTGAATGACCAAATGCAAACTGAATTACATTGACAAAAATTAAAATTAAAAAGTCTAAAGGAAGCAAGTGTTGGCGAGGATGGAGTATAGCGGACACTCTGCACTGCCATCCACAAGGCACAAGCCCTTTGTATGACCCAGTCGGGTGAGTAAGGACGCAGTGGCAGCTGGCCTCCTGGCTGTGCACCTGTGCAGTCACAGGGGCCTGCACCTAGCACAGTACTCTACCACAGCTGTCCTGAAATTCCTAATAATTTATCAAGGGGCCCATGTTTTGATTTGCACTGAGACTTGTAAATTCCACAGCCAGTTCCTTCCAGTGGTTTCACTCCTTGGTATATTCCCAAGAAACTCTTGTATCTGGGTGCTGGAAGCCCTGTTGAGAATGTTCATAGGAGCTGTTTCTACAAAAAGCCAGAAACTCACATGGCATGGATGAATCCGAAAAACAATGTTGAGTGATGAAAATATGAAGTAGAATACATACAGCAAAAAATAGTCTTTTCATTTTCATTTTACTTTCATATCTTTTCTTAAAAAGATAAGCAAGATGAAATAATGGTGTGTAAGGAGATATACATATGTGGTAAATCATAAAGAAATCACCTTTAAAGATGACGTGGAAGGTGGGCTCTCAAAGGCACACACAGAAAGCTTCGATGTTGTTGGCCAAGTGCTGTTTTGAGGTTGGTTGGTTGGTAATTATTATGCTTCACATCTGACCTATGATATTGATTCTCAATGTGTTTTATGTCAGATACTTCATATTTTAAAAATAGAAGAACCTGCCCAAGTGTGCCACACTGTCAGGATCAGACATGGAGAGATGGATGGCACAAAGCAGGGCTGGGCAGCCTGCGTCTGTCACCCTGGCTGAGCTGGGAGGCTGATAAGAAGCTGCTGTGAAAGGGAAGCGTTCTTCTGCTGAGGTCCAGCCCTCCTGAACTTCAGCAGTTGTTGCTAAGAACCGGCTTCATGAAGCGAGGTTTCAATTCTCGAACATGATGATGCAGACAGACATTAAATGTACCAAATTGCAGCTCATTTTTGCCAAGGAAATAAGTACATATAGTTCTGACTCTAAAATGTATAGCTTTTATATATAATTTGTTTCATCTTCAGTGACTTTACATTGTTTTAGTCTCTCTGGGCAAAAAGGTGCCTTTTATTTCAAGAGGTTTTCTTTTTTAAGCTGCATTTCTAAACACTTACCTTGGTTATTTTGTTCCACACCTGAAATCAAATTGTTTTTCCTCTCCTCTCTTTTCCAAATTTTGTCACATTGTCATATTGCTTTCCTAATTTAAGAAAGGGGGTAGAGGGGGTGAGGAGGGTGGGGGAGAAATGGGGGAGGAGGTGAGGGAGAAAGAGGTGGTCTCCCTTGCCATAGCCAGAATGACTAATGGAGACAGTGGTCTGAGGAGAGGCCTGCCTGGGGTGGGCAGTGGAGCCCCCACAGCCCCCTGCACTGCACCTGGAGCTGGCACCTGCCTAGGACCATCTCCTGGGGTTGGAGCAATCCTCAAAGCTGCTCTAAGGAGGCCATGCCCACTCCTTGGCCTTGGGTACCCAGGTGTCCTGGACTCCCCCAGTGCAATCCCAGGAAGCAGACCCAAGATGAAGTGTGGCTTCATGTGCGGACCTAGTGAGGCCCTGTCCTTGACTAGTTCAGAACCTGCCTCTGCCCCAGACCAGCCTGATGAGGATGGGAGGGCCATGCAGGACCAGAAGGAGCAGCTGGGGTGGTGGTGGTGGGGCCTGGGACCCTCTGAGGGGAACTCGGGATGGGCTAACCATCATCTTTCCCAGGCAGGCTTCGTACCTCTGTTTCCCCAGCTCTGTTTCCTCTTCCCTGCAGTCCTGGCCTTGGGAACCTGGATGGCTGCTTCCCTAGGCACCTAGTGGGCATGAGACCCAGTCTCCATGGCCCCTCCCCCAGGCAGACCCTGTGCCCTCAGTTGTCTGTGCCAGACTTGACATCTGGGTCCAGTTTTGTCCCCTTCCTGGCTGAGGGCCTGGTCCCCAGCCCCACTTGCCATCACTATGGCCTTGTCTGGCAGGGGCCACTCAGCCTCTGCCTGCCCTGTGTGCCTGGTTCCGCAGGCCTCCCTCTGCCCCTACCCAGTAGCCCCAGGGAGAATGGTCTCCTAGGTGCCAAGCTCCCCTGTGGTGGTGGGGGTAGTGCGGAGCCACCATCTGGCTGTAGTGATGAGATTCAGACACGTGAGGCAACTCATTAGGGAACAATCAAGACAGCATATACTTAAGACCAAAAATCTGCTGAGCAGATTCAGCGGGAGCTTAGGAGGAGGCAGAGGGGGCGGAGGGGGCGGAGGGGGCAGGGGAGGGGAAAGCAGATGGGTGCGTAGGTGGGGCTGGGGGGGCAGGGTCTGGTTGGAAGCCCCAGCCTTCCCCTCAGTGACAGAATGGAGAGAAATCAAGCTGCCTCCCTTACAATGTGGCCTGGAGGGTGGGAGTCCACTGTCCGGGGCTGCGTGGAACAAGAGAGGGCACTGAAAGCTCTCAGGGATGATTTGGTAAGGAGTAGGAGAAATCAGGCTGGCAAGGCTCGAGAGTGGGCAAGAGGGTCCCACAGGCAAGGGGAGTGGGCAAAGGGAGGGCTTCTGGGGGCAGGGTCTGGTGGGGATGGAGGTGGGGCGCAGCAATCCCCAGCTAGCTGGCCTCAACTAACTGAAAGCACAAGCTACCATATTCCATGTTTTTGGGAGAAGTTCAGGTAGCATTTTGTGGTCATGGCTCAGCAGCTTCTGCATGGAGGCATTTTTGATGTCTCTATTCCCTTGAGGTCTGAGTTTAGCCAGGAGCACAAGGAACGGCCCCCTGGCTGAGTGTTGTATGGGGAGGGAGGAGTAGGAGACCTAGTCCTTGATGGCCTAAGGACACTAAGGACTCCTGCGGCCTCCCCAGGGGCCTCCCTACTATCCCATGACCCCTGCAAAGGCTCACAGCTGCTGGTGTGGGTGGGCTGGGAGCACAAGAATGAGAACCAGGCCAGGCAGGCTGGTTTGGAGGGGCAAAATCCCTCCAAAATTTGGCTGCTCTTCTTGCAAAGATATTTGCAGATGACCCCCCTGTACCCCAGCAGTTTCCAGCCACCCTGGACATCAGGGGAACCGGGAGCTCAGAGGTGAGAAAAAGCAGGACTCGGGACTTGAGACAGGTTTCAAAACTCAGGATTTATTGACACTTGAGCATAAAGGCCCTGGGAGGAGAACGCCTTTCTGGCCTTTCACCCTAGGACTTGTCCCTACAGACATGGAAAAACAGCCATCCTGTCTTGGAACAAGACCCCCCATCACAGAACATCACTCCCAGGAACCCCACTGAGAAGTACACAGATAAACCCTTGGCAAGGCCAGCACGGCATGTGAATGGCAAGCTTGGCAAATTTGGCAAAGCTGTGGAGCCTTGGAAAAGTGCAAGCCCCTGGGGCTGCTCCCTTTGGACAACGGCCAGAATCAAATCAAAAGAGCTTATTTTACACAGACCCACCTGGTTTCAGTTTAGCTGGGACGGGGGCCAGGCTTATGAGCTGTCAGAACTGTGCCCTTGGCCCCAGGAATACTGCTGAAGTAGCTGGGGAAGGAGTGAGGCCAGGGACTACGTGCTGGCCTGGGGAGGGTGGAAGGGGACAGGACTGCTGCCAAAGGCAGGGCTGGTCCAAAGCTGACCCAGGACCTCAGAGAGCCTGTGCTCCTCTCTGGGGCCCACCCCTATTGCTCTCTCCCTAAGACACAGCCATTTCCTAGTCCTGGATGCTGAGGATGGGCTGTGTCAGGAGCCCATGCATTCATTCACCTCCAGGATTTCAGCGGGTTGGGATCTTGACTAACCACCCCAGCTATGCCAGCCCCTCTTCCAGTGGCTGCCTGCGCCTCTCCCACCCCTGCTGGCTGGGTATCAGCCCTACCTGTAAAAGCAGGGTTGGATTTCTCCAGCTTTTGTATTCCATATAAGGCGCTAGCATTAGTAGCTTGATTCTTTTCCAACCCACTTAATTTTAAGAATAGACACTAATAATACTTAATCACCCCTCCCCGTTGGTGGTGCGGGATGAGCCCGCAGCACTGGTAGCATCACCCCAGGATGTGGCTGGATTTGCCCCAAGTGACCTCTGCACCAGATTTCCAGAAGCTACTACACAGACTCAGTGTAACCCTGTGCCCTACAAAGTGGAAAATGAGGCACAGGGAGGGGTGACAACTTATTCAGCTCACTAATGAGCTAGTGGCAGACCTGGGACTCGAGAAGGGGACTGAGGTGTCCAGACCAGCGTCCCAGCTAGGGGCCCTGTTGGGACTGTGGCCTGAGGAGGACATGGACCAGAATGCTGGGAGGCTGAAGACTGCCCAAGGCTCTCAGTGCAGCCAAGTCAGGATGGAAGAGACTGACTCTGTGCCTTGGTGCTTACACAGGCCGGACCCAGTGCAGCAGGAGAACAAAGGTTCCCTCAGCTGCCAGGGTCACACCAGACAGCAAAGGCCTCTGCTGTGGAGGGGGAGGGGGCTTTGACCTTGGCTGGGGGTGGGGGAGATGCCAAGACAAACCTGGAGAGATATCCTGGTGGAGCCTTGGGCCGGGGCATGAATCAGGTCACCAAGTGGTGTGATCCAGACTCCACAAGGTGAAGCTCCTCTCTTGGTAGCAATCAACAGAATAAGATTAGCAAAGAAAAGAGAAAAACAGAAGCCTGTTGCTCCCTCCCTCCACTAAGGTCATGCCCATGGTAGAGAAGGGTGGGGGCGATGAGAAGGGCCTCTGGCCCCCAGAAGGCAGCAGGGCCTTGAAGTGAAATGGGGTAACACCTGGACATGTTGGCCGCCAAACATTCTCTAAATTACAGTGACCATGTTTAAGACGCTTTTTATCATGAGGTCTTGAGAAAGGCATTGACCACATGGCCTCAGCATCTTCATCCTGCTGTGGGAGTGGGGTTAATGTGGAGCCTACAAGTGGTGGCCCATGGCTCCCTCCCTTCCTGCTGGACAGCCCACCAGCCTCAGGAGAGGTGGATTTTACCAGCCACTCCTTTCCCGGGGCTCCTCTCAGTGCCACTGGGATCAGGGGGCTCCCTGTGCAGGCTTTCCTGGGGCCCTGCTATTGTGAGTGGACTCTGAATATCTCCATAGGACCTCGCACTAAGCTTCCTCCCACTGCCCAGCCCCACACCCCCAGACATTATCCTGCAGCTACTCCCTTCTCAGACCTGCCAGCCTCTGCCTACAGCAACATTGCCCACCACTGCGAGCCCCGGGGCTCCTACCAGAGACCTGACCTACCCCAGGGCTTAACTTCTACCTAGAGCCCTTGTCTAGCCAACTCCACATGGGATTTTTATCTGCCCCACTTGATATGAGCAAATGAAGTCACCTGAGCTTCACCTTCCCAGGGCAGGAGGGGACACAAGCTCTTTCACAAGCTTTCAGGCTAGGGGCAGAACGAGGCATCGGAGGCCGCCAGCCATGGGCAGAATGAGGGGCTGCAGCCCAGTGGGTGGGAGAGACTCCCAGTCGCATCCTCGCTGCCTCCAAACAGACCCACAAGCTACACTGGGCTTGCCAGAGCCTCTTATGTGTTTCCCAATGAAACCAATTCAACTACCAACACACAAGACATTCTGGAACATTCTAAACAGCAGCAAGGACCTGTCTGCTCACAGAGCTTGGGCCCTCGCCCTGAGGTCCAGCCAGATACCAAGCAGCAGGGTCAAGGTGGGTGGCAAGGCGGCAGGTGCCACAGTCACCCTGAGCTCCGAGAGCCGTGAGGTCGGGCCACACAGCACAGTCCATGCTCTCAGGGGCCACTCTGCTAACTGTCAGCAGCGCATCACAAAGAGACAGAAAATACTCTTCTAGGAAGAATTCTAGCCGGAGTCATGCCACTGCAACAAAATAAATCTTGCTTTTGTGAAAACTTAAACATGCCTATTAGAACCCATTATATGCCTGGCTGATCTAGCCTTCTCTAAAGCTGTGTAAGGCACTTGAACGGCTTATTAACACTACCTGAAAAGGTTTTTGTTTCAATCTTAAGGAAAAAAAACTTAGTAATACTGCAAAAGAAGTTTCCCATTAAAAAAAAATCAATACTTAAGTTTTCTAAGAAATAAAATAAATGCTAAGCTCTGCTTAAGTTATATGACACAACAGGTCACCTTGGCACTGACAGAACAAAGACAAAACCTGAAATACTGCTTCTGAATTAGACTTTTCCCTGGGAAAAAAAAAAGACCACAAACAAAAGACAAGCGTGGTGCCTCTGAGCTTCCTCTCCCTGGGTACTTGGGGGACAAGGGTCCAGGGAGGCCAGGGCCACACGTGTCACAGCTGCCATGAAGCAGGCAGGTGACCTCTGCGGGCCAGATCTCAGATTCTCTCTCCTCTATGGGAAGTGGACTCAGCCAGCCAGGCCCCTTGAGGCACATCTGTGGCTAAGAGCCCTTCCAGATGTGGCCTGTGAGGAATAGATGAGAAACCTGTGCTGGGTGCCCAGGACGTGCCTGCAAATGCCGTGGCTCCTAGGTCTGTCCTGCTGCCCCATGCACATGGCCACCATCTTTGGTCTGGCTGTAGCCAGTGCCCGTGGGAGCAAGAGCCAGTCCAGTTTCCAAGTCATCTTCTCTTTGGTGAGGCTTCCTTCAGAGCACCCAGCTATCCGAACTGCCTGTTACAGGCAAGGTGTGGCACCCACTGCCCAATGTAGTTCTGCAGCCACCAGGGTGGGCTGACGTAAGCAGCACAAGGCGCTCAGGGGTCCCAGGGGAAAGTGCTGCTCGGGCCGCACCTGCCTGCCCACCGCTGCCTGTCGGGTCCTAAGGCATCTGAAGGGGAGGGTCGCAGGGTGGGGGCCGGGGGCCTAGACCTCCTAGCTTCTCCGTGGAGTTTGGTTCATTGGCTCTGAGAGGTCAGAGGGCAAGCCTCGGCTTCTCCCATCTACTGGGGAGTCCCCTGCTCCCTGGGCCCCACTCTCCAGCAGCTGTTGGGGATCCCTGAGGAAGACTACCATGACTGTGATGTTGTCATGGGAGCCTCGCTCCCGGGCTGCAGCCACCAGCAACTCGGCGACATGCAGCCCACTGCCCTGCTGCCTGACCAGGTGGCTCTGGACAAGGCCAGCCACCTCCTGGTGGGGGACAACATCGAAGAAACCATCACAGGCCAGCAGCAGGTAGTCCTCGGAGCCGGTCAGCTCCCGGGAGGCTGAGTCTGCCTCCCCAGACACGTAGGGCTTCTGGAAGACATCCCCTGGGCACAGGAAAGAAGTGTCTGGTGTTAGAGGATCGTTCTGTCTGCTGTTCTGTCTCATCCCATCCCATCAGGCCCAGGCTCACTGAGGCCACCCTCCTCCAACACCTGTGCTCACAGGCGAGGACACAGTGTAAAAAGATAACTTCACATGGAGGGTGAGGTGACAGGTTCATTCTGGTGTTCTTGAGGACGGAATCAAAATCTAGCAGGGCCAGAGCTCAGCTCCACAAAGTCGTTTTCTTATTCCCTGTGGAGCAGGGCCCAGAGTGAGTGGCCCAGGACACTGCATGGGCTGTGGCCCTGGGCCTGGCCCTCCTGGGCTCCTGATGGCTCCCCTTGGACACCTGAGAGGCACTCAACTAAGCGTGTCCAAATGCTCACTTTTTCTCTATCACACCCGCTCTCCCAGTCTCCCTATCATGGAAACCAGCGCCATAATCCCCAGGTCCTTATGCCCAAACCTGGGGGTCCCCTCTAATTCTCTCGCACGTCCCACATCCAATCTGTTAGCGAGTCCTATTTGCTTTACCTTCAAAATGCAGCTAGAACCCACCTCCCCTTCTTGTTTCCACAGCTCACACCTCACCCAGAACCCACAGAGCTTCCAGCTGGTCCCCCTTCTTCTGCGTTTACCCTGACAGCCACTTCTCCACGAGGCGTGAACTAGACCACGTCATCTATTACACAGTACCACCCAGAGCTCCTCACTCCTTGGGAGGGAGCCTGGCCCCCTGGCCTCCATGCCCTGGGGTGTCCAGAGACAGAACAGCAGAGACCACAAGGAGAAGGGCTATAAGGAAGGCAGCACGTTTGGCGAGAAGGATAGATGTTTCAGGAGGCTGGAGGGACTGATGCCCCTGCAGGAAGTGAGCGATTTCTAAGTACTTGGAGGGGAGGTGTGGCTGCTGAGCCCCAGACTGAGGCTTGGGATGCTGAGAAAATAGGACAGGGTGTGGGGAGTGTGTTGGGGGGTGGCTTTTACTTCAGATTTTAAGACAGAACAACAATCATCAACATGACGGGGTAGGGAGAAATAAACTTCACTTATGGAATATTTAAAAATTATCTTCCAGGTAGCCAAGCGTTTCCTACTAGATTTTTCTGAGGAAGTGTTTCAACAATTAGATAATGACATAACTTAAACTGAAATTATTTGTGTGAGATGGAAGTTTCTCAGGCGTCTGTGGCTGTACTCTCTAAAGTCCCCAGTCCCTCCACAGTCTGACTGATAACACAACCCTACAGACCACAGGTGCCTTTTCAGCACATGATACTGCTGTTCCCAACAGCGGAGTGAGCCTGTGGGCCTTGAGGGGTCCAGAGGCCTTGACCTTGGGCAGCCTTTCTTTCTTGCCCTACCCACCACCCTTACCTATGGCTCTGGAGACAGCTAGGGTCCCGTTGACTCTCCAGCAGTCCATATGAGACACGAAGCCACCCAGCGCTTCAATGCGCTCCTTCTCGTCCTGTGGGAAACAGCCAGAGTAGGGGCCTGGGCACACTGGTGGGGCAGGGTGACCAGTGCTGCCACTTGGGTAGAGACAAGCTGGTTTCCGAGACAACACTGGGAGCCACAGTTCTTGAATGATGCTTAAATGAGGCATTGGTAACGGAGCGAGAAATTATTTATAATTTACTAATTGTATTTCATTTGCAAGAAGGGCTAAATAGGTTATGGTGCAAATACAGACAGGTTGCCTACAGCCACCAACCAACAGCCAGTCCCTGAGTAGCATCTCAGGATCAGGGAGATGCTCACGAGGCAGCAGAAAGAGCACAAGCCCTAGACAGATGGCAGGACCCTCAGCTGCCTCACATTTCACACATGATACTGTCCCTTCCTTCTAAGCTGCTGCTGGGACAATGAGACCAAGTGAGTGCTACATGTGGCCACCAGGCAGGACTGGATGAAACCTGAATCAGGCCTTGGATGAGCCCTGTGCCCCTGGGTCCTCGTTCTTTTCCTCCACCCAGGAACCACCCGGCTCCCCAGAGGACTGTGGTGCTCCAGGCCTGAGAGGACAGGACAGAGGCCCAGTCCAGCCATGAGTCCTAAAAATCTCTTTGGTCCTATACATTCCCCTGAAGGAGAGGTTTCCAGCCACGAGTCCACTGCCTGAAGGGTGACAACAACAGCCCTGCTATTTCACAGATGATGAGCCTGAGGCTTAGCAGGGGTGGAGCCAGGACGCTGTCATTCTTGGCTGTTATGCCATCAGTGCCTGATACTTTCTGCCGTGTTTTCTAGAAGCCACAAAAGCAGGCAGTTCCAAACAATTACATAAAACCAACACTTCCACATGGAAAAGCCCATTAAGACAAAAGAGAATTTGCAAATCACAGGGAGCCAAGCTTCCTAACAGTATGTAAGATGCCTATAGACTGATAAGAAAAATAGCAACAGCTTAGGAGAAAAATGGGCAAAGGACAGGATTGGAGTGTTCTCAGGAAGGGGGACAAATGAGCTTTAGCTTTTGAAAAGATGCTCAAGCTTGCTCTGTAAGAGAAATGCGAATTGAACCAAGGCCTTCTCACCTCTCAGAGAGCAGGGCCCCCACATGGCCTGAGGGGACAGTTTGGCAAAGCTATGCACCCTGACCAGCTTTCGCACTTCTAGGAGTGTGCCCCAGTGTTTCAACGATACCTGACCCTGAACAATGAAATGCCGAACTAAGTTATTTATTGCTATCTTGTTTTTAGTGCCAAAAAGACTGAAAAGATCTCAGCGGAGAGACAGGAATAATGGAACTCCATCAGCCCTGCAGGAGATAGACTGGACGCTTCTGTGAGATGTGGTCCAGGGAGGAATGTCATCCTCCTGTCCAGGTCAGTACCCTGAGGATCAGACAGGTGAGTGACCTCAGGGTCCCAACGTAGCCTCCACCCAATGAAGCCCCAAGCCTGCTCCCTCCGGGCCCAGTGTCACCTCCTCCATGCAGCCCTCCTCCCCCACAGCCCAGGTGTTTGGCTGCTCCTTGCTGTGGGCAGGACGGGACCCTGAATGTTGACCCCATTTACTGAATTTACTTGGGACCTCTGGCTGTTAATATCCCAAACATTAGGGGACTCTCTAGCCACTTGAGTCAGGCAAGGGAGCCCCCTCTGTGGAGGAGCACCAGAAGTTTCCTGGAAGATGGTCCAAGGCCCCTATTACTTCCTAATTTGCCCCAGCAACCCCGGCCAGGACTCTCTGACCATCCGCTTCCCTGATGGGCCCAGCATGATTGGGCCTAGGATGTCCCCTGTGGGTAGAGGGAGCCCCTTACCTGTCGCTCAGGTTTGTGAGGCTCCATCAGCTTCACCACCTGCCCCTGCTGCACCAAGATGACCTGGGAGTCCCCGAGCCAGGCGATGTGCAGCGTCTTTCCCGCGATGAGTGCGCACACACCTGTGCTGCCACTCTGCAGCCGCTGCAGGGAGAAAAGACCGTGAGGGTGAGGGTGAGGGTGAGGGTGGGCGCCTGCCCCACAGGCACACACGATCCAGACTGAATGACTGCTGGCAAAGCGCTCAGCCAGAAAAAGGAACGGACTGCTGATGCACATCGGGCCCTGTGAATGTCACAGGATTATGCTACGTGGAAAGAGAGCACGTCCTGTGTGAGCCCATTTATATGAAACTGGAAAACGCACACGCAATCGTCTGTTGTGTCAGAAAGCAGACAAGTGGTTGTCTGGGAGGCAGGTGGGCAGGAGGACGGGACGACAGGGGAGAAGAAACTTCTGGGGGTGATGAATATGTCTGTTGTTGTGAGAGTTTCACAGGTGTAGACATGTCCAAACCTATCAAACAGTACACTTTAAATATGTGCAATTAATTGTGTGTCAGTTATATCTCAATAAAGCTGTTTAAAAATAATACCAAACTAAACACCTGCCCCAGAGAATCGTTTCTCGTCTCTGAGAGGCAGCCCTGAGCTTGGAGACCTTTTTTATCTCCTCGGGGTGACAGTGGCCAGGAGGGCTGAAGCATGTCAGCTTTTCACTGGTTCCCACCTTATAGTTTTAGATGCTGTATGGTTTCCTGTTAAGTCCAGCGTTGCCGATTTGCGTTGAGTGCTCAGAGCGTCTGATGACAGTGTAGCTCTCACCCCAAGTCTCCTCACCAGCCATGTTGCCTGGTGCATGTCTTTTACTCTCTGAGCCTCAGTTTCCCAATGTATAAAATGGACACAAACTTAGTATCTAGCCCGCAGGGCTGTGGGAGGACCCACTGAAGAGAACACAGGTGAAATTCAGTGGAGGAAGGTTCTTGCGGGGGGCGAGGGGTACATTCATCCTTCTTTCAGGAACAGATGCCTCCTCCCTCTGTGGCTCTGACTCCCAGTGAACACCAGCACCTGCTGAGACCCTGCCCAGGAGAGCAAGGGCAAATGGGGCTGTGTACTGATCATGAGTTTTCTTTTCTGTATTTATGATGTTTTGACAAATTGGGGGCCTTGCTAATCCTAGAAAGAATGCCCCTCCCCCTCCCCCAGGGCCAGTTAATGCCTAAAGAGAGCAAACATCTCCCCTACGAGCACCTTTCATGCACAAGCTAGCTGGTCAGGAGCCCATGTTCTTGACCATCTCCAGTGCTCCCCCTGGACTGGATGGCTGGGGATCACCCCTGTAGCTCAGAGCCCATAGAGGTGATTCTCACCATCCAATCCTAAATTTGCTGTGACTTGCTGGTCCTGTCTCACCCGCGCCTTCCTGTGGAGGCCACAGTGAACGCTCTGGCCATGGCTTCCTCTCTCCCTCTGCCGCCTGAGGGACCTGGTGCTTCCCTGTGTGGCTCTGCTTGGGAACTATAAGTAATAAACTCCTTTTTCAGGGTGGCTGTCTCTGCATCTGTCATCCTACCATGCTTGACTAAAACAAAACCCTGGGCACATCTTAACACAGTCTGCCCCCTCCTGTGAGGCCTGCACACCCTCTGCTACAGGGCAGGTCCATGCTGCTGCAGGACCAGGCATGCTGGATCAGGGGCGAGTTTTATGCTGCTTCCATTTAAATGAGAAACAAGCCCCCTTTGTAAGAATGAAATGACATGACTGCCAGCAGCCTTTAGTGAAGACCTTCTGATACTACCAACCACTTCAATTTCTATCCTTCTGCTAATGGTTCCTGGCCCCCAAACTGCACGGGAGGCCTGTGTGCAGGTTCTCACCTCTCGCTTGGCTTTCCAGAGGAACATCTCATCGGTGCGCCGGAAGGCTTCTCTGAGGGCTCCCGCGGGGTCTGTGGGCAGCTCTGGCTGGCGGGCAGTGTTGGCGTGTACGTGCACAGCGGCATACCTCGCAGCGTCCACACCTCCATGACCGTCAAACACGGCAAAGTAGGCGCGGTCCACAGGGTCCTGGTGGGGAATGCAATGGGGGTCACCGCCCTGCTGGTCTCATGCCTGACAGAGGCTGTGAACCGGCCAGGGGCTCTTGTCTGTGGGTGGAGCCCGGGGGCTGACTAGAAGGGTCAGGAAGGGTCTGGAAGATTCAGCATGGCCTTCCCCATCAGACGACCTTCTGTTTCACCCTCTTTACTGAGTTGCTGGAGTCAGAAGATGAGGAAGATGTATCAGGTGGCTCCCAGTACTTGAGACAGAGCAGGGCTCAGCAGTCATGACTCCGCCTGAACGTGGTGCCCGGGGCCTCTGCTTACTACAGACTTGGGGAAACCATCCCTTGCCCCAGTCCCTCAGCCCAAAGAGGAGGCAGCTAGTGGCTGCCCTGGTCTAGAAACACAAGGACAATGAGTTGGGCCTCTTAAACCTCTGGGAAGGAAGTGCTTTGAGAGCTGTCCAGCACCTCGGCCTTCAGACAGTAGCTATAGGCATCACCCCTAATTTGGCTCTGGCTGAAAGCTCTGCTTGGCACCCAGGGTAACCCCCACCATTTGTGCAAGCCCTCCTAGGCTGTCCTGATTGGGGACACTGGCTTCATGCCCCAGGAACGGGGAGGTGGAGCACTCACGGACAAGCCGAAGAGCTGGTTGAAGGTGGGAAGGCACACGTGCCGGTCCTCCATCTTGCGGCGAGTGTTCCGGATGGCGTGGATGGAGACCAGCCACTGCCGCTGTGGCACTCGGGCAGCCAAGGGCACCTGCTTCTGCCACTGGCTGCACACTTCCCAGAGCTGGTTAAAGAAGCTCCGCGCCAGGCCCTTGGCATCCAGCACTGCTGGGCAAGATCGAGGGCTGTTAGGGAAGCACCAATGCCAGCCAGCTGACGCTCCACTCGCTCTCCCTGTCCCCACTTCCTGTGGCCTCTGCAGCTCTCCAGACGGTCCCATCACAGGCCTGCACAGGCGCCATCAGCCCGTCACTCCCCGGGGCACACCGGCCTAATAAACTATGTGTGACAGGCTGTGTCATCAGCTTGAGAAATGTCCAGTTTGGCAATATGAACCAGGGACCTCCACTCACGGCAGCCCACCCCAAAGAAAGAGCTGGAAATGTAAAGATGATTTGAGGACAAACTACAGAATCACTTATAATTATGCAATAATTAGAAATAATACATATCCATAATACAGTAAATTATGGTCTATTCTCTTGATGAAGAATTAAGCTGCTATTAAAATCATTTTCGGAACTTAACATGTAACTGTCATATAGCCTGGCAACTGCATCCCCAGGCATAGGAATTCAGACTACGTTCATATAAAAACCTGTGCCAGAATGCTCACGGTAGCTTAATCTGTAATAGACGAAAACCAGAATTGGCCCAGACATCCTTCAACACACAAACAGTTACACAAACATGGGTACATTGTGCCATAAACATCACTTAGCAAGAGAAAGGAAGTATCTACTGACACGTGCAGAAATCTGGTGAATCTCCAGGGAATTACGCTGAGTGGAAAAAGCTAATCTCCAAAAGTTACATGCTGTGTGATTCCATTTATGTGCATTCTTGAAATGACAAAATTATAGAAATAGAGATTAGTGGTTGTCAGGGGTTGGGGGTGGTGCTGGAGTGGCCACACAGAGGAACAAGAGGGAACCTTGTGGGATGAAATGGCTCTGTATCTTGGCTATGTCAGGATCTTGGTTGTGATATTTCACTATAGTTTCGTAAGGGAATTGGTTTAAAAATGCCCGGGATTCTGATGTGTTATAATAACTGTATGTGAGGCTATGGTTCTCTCAAAATAGAGTTTAATTAAGAAAACTAAAGGGTAAAACAGAAATGATCTTTTACAGAGTTGGCAAGCACGTGAAACGCTTATGTCATGATATTAAGGAAAAACACTGATATTAAAAAAAAAAAGTCATGAAAAAAGGAGGATGGAAATTCCACACACGGTTTAATCAGGAGTACACGATAAAGCTTTCAACCACCTGGACCCAGGAAATAAAAGGCAGGGAAGGCATGAAACCACAATGTCAGCAGTGGGTGTTTACAGGTGGTGGTTTATAGGTGATGTTTTTTTCTTGAGTATACTTTTTTAGTGCTTTCCTAATGTTCTGTTATAAGTGTTAGTCCCAGGTGATGGTTTTAAAAATACATTCATAAATTCTTTGATACTCCTCCTTTCAAGGGCGGGAGCTCAATTCCCTCCCCTGTCTGTGCAACTTAGTAGCCTTAGTAACCTGCTTCTGATAAACAGAATAAAATGGAAGTGACCATGAATGGCTTCAGACACTAGGTCCTAAGAGGTGCTGTGGCTTCTACCTTATGTGCTCTCTGTCTTTCTCACCGTCTCTCTCTCTCCCTCTGAATCACTGGCTCTGAGGGATGCCAGTTCCCATGCCATGAAGATGCTCAAGCAGCCTGGGGAGAGTCCACATGGTGTGGAACTGAGGCCTCTTGCCAACAGCCATGCGATTGAACCATCTTGGAAGTGGAGCCTCTGCCCCCCTGGCCTTTGTCTGACCTCATGAGAGACCCTGGGCCAGAACCGCCAGCTCAGCTGCTCCCAAATTCCAGACTCACAGAAACTGTGGGATAATAAATGTTTATTGTTTTAAGCCACCAAAATTCAGGGCAATTTACTATGCAGCAATAGGTAATACCACCCAACAACATGGATTTTAAAAGAAAAACTGAAAACCTACCTAAACCTGGCTCTAAAGAAAAGATTAATGAAGAACTGGTCCCAAGGAAACCTCTGAGGCCGCACCTCAGAGACTCAGTTCATTTCGATGCACAAACCCCTCCCGGGACCCCTGCTGGCCCAGACGCGGGAGGCAGGTACAGGCTGGTCACCTAAGAGTGGGGCCCCAGGGCAAGTAACTGGAAACAGAACAGACTCAGAAGTGTCAGAGGCCACACTCGAAGGGCTTGGGGAGTTGGAGAAGGAAGAGCTCCTTTGTCTGTAAGCACAAGTGGCCCTGGAAAGACACTTCCGAGGGCATTCACGCATCAAGGTGGGGTGTCTAGAATTGGCTGCTGCTATCACATCCAGGATTCAGTGGCCCTTCAGACATTTGGCAAGAACTGGGTTTTATCTGGCCTGAAACACCCAGGGAAGCACATGGCACCGTTTACTCTCTTGCCTTAAGAGAGTATTGTTTTTGTCAATGTGTTTAAACTTGAATCTCGGCTCCAGCAAAGGGCAATTACCAGTGAGAATAAGCTGTGGGAGGATCACCTGGCCCACACACTCTTGATACAACTCATATGACACGCCTGCTTTCCTGGCACCCACGGAAACTGCTCACTGGTCGGGGAGCTGCCGGGTGGCAGAGAGGTCTTAGTCACATCTCTGCCCTTGGGCAGTGATTCTCATAACACCAACCGATGGCCCTTACTACGCTCTGCTCCCATGACAGGGGCGAGCTGAACCAGGCTGGGAGCCCGGGCCTTCACGGAGGACAGGGGCAGGCTGCGACTTCCTCTTGCCTGGGTCTTTCCCTCCTCAGCAGGGAGCCAAGTGGAGGGCTCTGCCACTGTCATTTGCTGCACTGCTTCTTCCTGCCAGAAGGTGGCGCCAATCTCCTGTTGGGAAGGCAGGCCAGGTGGGGCTAGTGGGCACTTCCTTGGCAGGGCTGCCAGCCTGTGGGTTTTGCAGAGGACAATGGCTGCCTGTCACTGAGCCCCTGCCTCCCGCACCTCCCAGGCTTTGGGGACATGAGGCTGTGTTGGGATGGAACGCAGGCGGGGAACTGGGGAAAAGGGCAGGGGCCGGGAACCTCCTGCAAGGAGAGGCTGCATGGTTTTCTTCTCTTCTCCCCTCCTGTTTCTCACTTTACCCTCAATGCTTGCACTAATGCTGAGACAGTCAGATAAAACAGGCATACCTCATTTATTATGTTTTGATTTATTGTGCTTGACAGATGTGTTTTCTTACAAACCGAAGGCAAGACTCCTCCCAGCCGCTCCCCCACCCCCTGCAAAAAGATTACCACTTGCTTTACTGGGTGGCCTAGAACCAAACCTACAATACTCTGAGGTATGCCTGTAATTAAGGGACATGAGGGAGGTGTTAGGGAACACTAAGGTGGAAATGATATGTAATACATAAATGAACTAAATCAACAAATTGTACACCTTTAACTTACACAATATCACGTCAATTATATCTCAATTAAAAAATAAGAATAAAGTAATGTAGTCAGAAAGAAAATCGCAAAGGCAGGAGAATCTGCTGAGGCTCCCAGGACCCATTCTGCCCTCTGCATCCTGACTGACCTGCAGCCCCGCCTGTGGCCTGGGCAGCACCTTTCACCAGAGAACATGGAGCGAATGAACGCCAGCTGCCAGCCTGGGCCCACTGCACACTCTGCCATGGGCCACGGCCGAGAGGCTGTTGCTCACTGTAGCTCTGGGATGATACGAACCGACGCTTGGGTGAAATATGATAGAAAGGAATTACTAGGAAAGTGAAAGGAAGACATACAAAATAAGAGACCTGCCTTTTTAGGGTGAGGCTCACTCCCTGTTTCTGGGTTTCTCTGGTGGCATAGCTTGGGACCACTCTGCTGTCCCAGGAGCATATTGCGTGCCCAAGCTCTCATGGACACTACTGAGTCTCCACCTGATGGGGTCGGGTCAGCCCAGGCCAAGGGCTGAGCTCTCGCATTTTCTACCACCTGGACATCAAGGCCACCTCTGGGAACTCATCCCATATCACTCTCCCAACTCCCACTTCACTACAGGGTGATGTCACCATGGGGTGATGTCAGTTGAGGCAGAAGAGCAAGAGTGAGGCTGAGAGTACCTTGGTGTCCTATCGTGTAAAATGAAATGCACATTATTCATTCCCTGGCTGTTCTGAAGCCCAGTGGGCAGCTGCTGTGCTCCCCCTGCTGCCTTCCTGCTGCGAGCGCTTTCTCCGCATCCTGGTCCTGCCACCCTGTCAAGAGCATGTGCACCCGGCACTGCCCCTTCACAGCCATCAGCCACATGCTGCCATAACCATCCTTCCACCAGCAAAATGGGAAAGGAGGTGGAGGCCAGGTGAGCCCTGCCTTCTCCCACACTGGCGCTCCCTAGCAACCTGTCCCTTGTCTGGCTGCCAAGTCTGTCACCTACTAAGTCTGGGGCCCAGAGAGGGAGAACTCACGGGTCACGGGGGTCTTCTCCTCCTCTTCCTCGTTGTCCTCCACCTCCTGCCTGGGCAGCTTCCTGAACTCAGAAAGGTCTGTCTGTAGCAGCTGGGAAACTGCTTCATGAGCCAGAGATGAAGCAAGTGGTGGCAGAGCGTTCCTGGGACAGGAACAAGAAATGAATTGGGGACAGCTCCTCAGCAGAAGTGCCTTGCACCTGCCCAAACTCTCCAGAGGGAGACTTCAGGCCCCCTTCCACCTAGGCAGGCCCGTCTGGAGGTAGTGATGACTGCTCACACCTTAACATGGGGCCATGATGAGCGGGGTGGCCTCTGGCCTTTGAGCTGGACAAATGTCTACACAACGACATTTACTGGGGCCTACACACTGCACCAGACGTGGGCTGGGGCTGGTGGGGAGGGGGTGTCACAGATATGTGAGCTATGGCCAGACAAGCTGCCAAGTGCCCAGCCTGATGACAGCACCTGGTCACCAACACTGGCTGGGGACCCCTGGGTGTTGGGGAGTCTTATGGGTTGAATTGTGTCCTCTACAAATTCATATGTTGAAGTTCTAACCCCCAATGCTTCAGATGTGACCTTATTTGAAAATAGAGTGGTTGCAGATTTAATTAGTTAAAAATTGGTCACTCTGGAGTAGGTTGGTCCCCTAATCCAATAACACTGGTGTCCTTATTGAAAGGGGGAATTCAGACACAGACACACACAGGAGGAACGAGTGATGACAGATGAAGGCAGAGGCTGGAGTAATGAGCCTATAAGCTAAAGACACCAGCAACCACCAGAGGGAAGCAGCCCTTCTGATACCTTAATCTCAGACTGCCAGCTTCCAGAACTCTGAGACAATACATTTCTGTTGTTTAAGGCACCCAGCCTGTCACAGCCCCCTCAAGAAACAAATCTAGGGAGCAAAGGACCCCTGGGCTACATCTGGAAGGCTGGGCTGTGCAGGGCCAATGGGGACTCTGGTCTATTGGGACAGCTGATATAAAGGGATGCTGGGGGGAGGGTGGCAAGTGTCAGGGCAATGGGGAGCCATGCCCCTGGTGTATTCTGAAGAGGGATGTGACACGATGGGATCAGTCTCTCTCTGGCTTCACCATGGAGAGTGGACAAAAGGTTACATGCTGTGGGGAGGCCAAAGCCTGGAGGTGGACAGGAGGGGACAGAGAAGGTGCTGGGCAGGGGACTGAATGGTCCACGGTGAGTCTCAGGTTCTGCTTAGGTCTAAAGGCCTGGGGCCGATGGGTGTGTGGTCTGGATTGAAGATGGGGCCTAGAATGAATGGGGGTGGGGCCTATAGCCCAGGGGTCAGCAGTGATGGAAGAAGTGAGATGACTGCAGAAGTGGCCGCTCAGGGCCGGGGAGGAACGATTCCAGGAAGTGAGATTCGAAGGTCATAGCTGCCCAGAACAGAGCTGGGGTCGGCATGGGCAGGAGTGGGAAAGCAAATGGAGCGAGGGAACAGGAACTTTGAAGGCAGGAGAAGAGGGGTGAAGGGTAGCTCCCAAGAAGTCCTGGGGATGGAGAAAGTGAGGCCAGGGGGAAGAACTAGTGGAAATTCTGCCACACATGCATTTTGCCATGGGCTCCCAGGCCTGCCTGCCCAGTCCCCAGCCTTGGGGCCGGCTCCTGTACCATGTCCCTAGGAAGCCCTCCCTGGCTCCCCCAGACATAGGGGTCACCCCTCTTGGTGCCCCTACAGCTTCTAGGATGCATTCTGACCCCATAATCTGCCTTCCCACCAGTGGGAGATCTCCTCGCAGTATTCATCCACATGTGATTTTCCCTGAAGGCGGGCGCCAAGGCCCAGGGCCGGCAAGTCTGTGCTTCTCTGCTGGGCTGACACATTCGGCTTCACCCTGAGGGAAAGTACCTCCCACCAGCCTGGCGGATGATGGGTCACGGCCCTTTGGGGCTGAGCATTTGTGGTATGTCGATAGACGGATCTTAGGAATCTACTAGGATGAATGAGAGGGTGACTCAGGGGAGAAGCCTCTGGACCTGCCTTTGAAAAACAACCAGCCAAGACATGAGAAATGAGTTCCTCTGTCATTCGGGGATATCCTGCCAACCGCTGAGTTTTCCTTTGTCACAGCAGGGAGAAGGGGCGCCTGTTCTCCTTAATCCCGGTGGTGAGGTTGCGCTGTGGTTTCCTGCAGGCCCTCTGAAACCCTGCTGCTGAGGCCACTGAGGGCAGGAAGGCAGCTTCCGGCTGCAGGGACCCACACAATGCCTGGCTGTGGGCCACAGGCATGCTTCCTGGACGCCCTTCCCGCCTCGCCCAGGGTTCCCACCTGACACACCCTCAAGGTACTCAGGACCTGCATCATTGGGGCTCCTAACATGACCGGAAGATGCTGCAATGAATGAGAAAAGGTGTGTGTATAAGACACAGGGACCCGAGAAACACTCCAGTCCCATCCACCTCAGGGCTTTCCAAGGAGTTTCCAGTTAAGTAGCAGAGATGAAAATACACATAAAAACATAGCGTAAGGTGTACATTGCTTGGGGACCATAGATGTGACACGGAACTGCTAACAACAAGGAGGAAGACAGGACATAAATCATCATACCCTTGAACTCAGCGATCTGACTTCTGGACGGCCTCGTAAAAGGTACCATTTATAATCTGACAAAACTCCATGGACCAATATGCTCTGCACCCCTTACACCCGAGAGCCCTCAAGCTTGAGCTCCAGGGATGTGCGCCCACCTGGTGGGAACCTGCGTGGGGTGCTTTCAACAGTCAGTTACGGTGCAGACAACGTGTGAACAACTGCGTCTACGTAGAAAAGAACTACTAAAAAAGGATAAAAATAACTAAAAATAGGTCCATTAAGATGGCTTGAAAATGTAAAACTTTAAACACATTACATTTTAAAGTGCTTTAAGGTGGGTTCATGGCAGTGGGAGGGGCTGAGGTGGCTGGTGGGAAGCTCTGCAGAGGCCTGCATTGCCCCCTCCAGCCTCAGGCCAGGGGGCTATGAACCCTGGCCTCTCTTATCACTAATGGTCTCAGGCTTGCTCTGCCATCCTGCTAATTAAGGTGGGGTGCCCAATTAACAGCTGAGCCAGGGCCTTGCAGAGCTCCGCTCCACCTCAAACAAGTCCTGCTTTTCCCTACTTCAGCTTGAGACACCTGCCCTCCCCCATAAAACTCCCTCCCCCAAGGCCCTGCGCCCCACAGACTCTTCCAACTGACCCCTGACTTCTCCAGCTCAGGTTCCCCTAGGCAGGAAGGCAGTCACCTACTCCTACCTGGCCACCCTCCTCTCTACCACCCCCTCCCACTTCCACTGCTGTGAAGCAAAACCAGCCCCTCTGTCCTGGAGCCCTCCCCCAACCTGGGGACTGACCCTCAAGCTGGTGCCCCTCACAGACCCCAAGCTGTGGCTTGTCCCTCCTCTGATGCTGTGCCGCTTGCCCAGAGGCCTGATTAACCTGGGGCTCTGCTGTCACCCAGGCCAGCTTTCCCACCTCGGTCCCCAGCTCTTCCTCTCTGTCCCATGGATACATCATCCTTTGCATGGCAGTGTGCTGGGGGTCCTCTCGCTTTTCTTAAGCCTTGGGCGGCAGGGGTGCCAACCTTCCTGGGCCTGCCTTTTCTCTCATAGTCCCTGAGCCCTCACAGAAGCCCAGTGGCTGCTGGGAGGATGGACCCGGCAACGCCGTGCCCCTCAACTTCCTTTCTCCCCTGAGTGTGGCCTCTATACCTGGCCAGTTCTCTCTCCTCCCATCCTTGGTGCTCTAGGTCCTGAGGGAGGCAGAACTCTGAGAGCCCTCCCTCATCCTCTCCTCCTGCACCCCTCAGCACCCATCCAGCATCCCTGACATGGCATCATCAGGCCACAGGCCCACTCTGCCCCACCTGTCTCTAAAATATTTCCTCAAAGCCAAACAAATCCCCTCTACACATGCCACCCCCTGAGAGACACAGACACTAGGCATTTCCTCCCGAGCGCTGTGGGGCCATGGGGGATGCTGGGGTGGACATGGCCCTGGAGCAGGCCCACAACCAGCAGCCTTTGTGCTCAGTGACACAGGCTCCCACACTGCAGCTGCGCATGCAAGAGTCGGTGACTCTGCTGGGGCCTTGGGGTTCTTCCAAGCAGGCTCTCGGTGGATATGTGGGAATGGAGCTGACCTACTGCAAAGGAAGCACACTGAGACCAGGGGTGTCTGATTTTAGGGGTGATGCAGTGACTAGGAACCATGGGCGTGGCCCCTAGCCCACATGCTATGAGCCTCCTCAGGTGGGCTACTGGCAGGCACAAACTTTCTATCTCCCTCAAAACCTGCTAAGTTGGTTGTGTCCCCTCTCTGTGCCTCCACTTCTTCATCTGTGAAACAAGGAAAGTACCATCACCTCTTAGGTCGTGGTGGCCAGGGGCAGTGGCGGGGACAGCACGGCCTGCATACTAGGCACATAGCCAGGCTCTGCCCTGCCCCAGCGTTGAGGCCTTGGCCAGTCTCCTAACCCCTTGGCTTCTGCCTCCCATGTGTGAAACGAGACAGAAATGGGACCTTCTGCTAAGCGCCTATCATAGGTTGAATTATGTTCCTCCAAAAGATACGCTGAAGTCCTAACCTGTAGTGGCTCAGAATGTGACCTTATTTGGTATAAAATGAATTCATAGTGTAACAGGGTGGGACCCATATCCAATAGGACTGACATCCTTACAAGAAGAGAAGAGACACAGAGGGGAGAAACGCCACGTGAAGAAAGACAACGGGAGATGTGAAGGAAAACAATGGGAGGACGCCATGTGACAAGGAAGGCCAGATTGGAGGGGTGCGTCTCCAGGCCCAGGCACACTAAGGACTGCTGACGATACCAGAAGCTGAGAGAAGGGCCTGGAACAGATTCTCCTCGACAGCCTTTGTCTGAGAGCACGGCCCTGCTGACACATTGATCTCCGACTTCCAGCCTCCAGAGCTGAGACAATACAATTCTGTTGCCCTAAGCCACCCAGCCTGTGGTGCTTTGTTACAGCTGCCCTGGGAAACAAACAGCACTGTCACAGGGATTCATGCAGGGAATATAACCAGCACAGGGCAGGATGTGTTAAGGGTCGCCAGAGTCAAGGTTGGCATGTAGCCCATGCCGTGCCCCTTACTTCCATCCCATGCTGTCCCCTCTCAGTGGGTGCATGGCCTACCTGCTGCTCAGGAAGCCCATCGCCAGCTCGATCAGCTCGCCCTCTACTTCCTCTTGGCTCAGCACTGTCCCTGGGACCTTCCACGGCAAAGGGCTCTCCAGGTTCAGCGGGGCTGGGAAGTCGCGGAGGAGGGCATCCAGGAAGCCAGGGGTCTCCTCTGCCATCTGGCTGCTCTGCTGTGGGGCTCTAGAGGCCATGCCCAGAGCATCCCGGGGGGCCTGCTGCCGGGGCTCCAGTCAGGCTTCACTCTGGGGAGAGACGTGAGGGTTAGCAAAAACATAGGGCGCTCAGTGCCCTTCTCTGAAGTCACTGCGCCCTCGCCCTGCAGTGCTAAGTGTCCAGTGCCCTGCTCTCTCCTGCACCTCCAAGCATCACACGGCAGGTGCTGAACCAAGCCTAGGGCTCAAGGCAGATGGACAGGATCACCTGGCTTAATACACAGTTTGTTGTTCAGGGGGCCCCTGAATTGGGAGGGATAACCCTGATGTCTCAATGCAGGTCTGAGAGGGGACACAAAGGAGCCTAGAGAAGCCACTTCAAGAGACAGAGCCAGGGGCAGTTGCTGCACAGATGTCCTGAAGGAGAAGGAAGGCATGTGCCTGGCAGAGATGGTCGGAGTGGCCAGAAGCAGGCAGGAGAGGGACCCCAGGACCAGGCCACTGGGGTAGGTAAATGTGGCAGGTGACCTGGGACCTGGGCAGCTAGGAGGTGAGGAAGTGATGCCACCAGGTCTGTGAGCCTTGAAGTGGTACCCAGAGGGGAGAAGGGACACCTATTGGGGGAAGGAAGAGAAGGGCCTGGACGGGACAGCACCAGGGCCCACATGCAGTGCCCTGGGCTGTTTGGAGACTGACCAGAGGGGGAGCGGAAAGGTCTCCCTAGAGGCTGTGGGGCGCCCCAGGGTGTGGGCAGGAGGGAAGAGAGGGTTAACCCAGGACAGTCAGAGGCATCTGAAACATAGTCAAGCCTCTCCGACAGGAGTCCAGGGCCTCCTAAGGCCTGATTGGAGGAGAGGCGCTGTGGACACACAGGTCACCAACCCTACTGCCCAGCATTGAGGGCTCTTCCTCCCTACAACCTTAGGGAGGTGGAGGGCTTAGTAGCTTCCAGGCCCTGTGCATTACCCGAAACACCCCTGGGAGCCATGATGAGCCCCCATTTAGCAGATGGGAACATTGAGGATTGGAGAAGGGCAGTCCTTTGCCTGAAAATGGACTTTGGAGGGACTTTGGAGCCCAAGCTTGTCATCTTTTCTTTACCCAACTCCTCTTACGCCTGGAAAGTGTCACTCACCCCCATCCTACAACCCAAGGTGGGCCTCCGGCTCCTCTCCCGCAGCTCAGGACCACTGAGGTACTGCCAGCCCACCCTCTCTGCCTCACACCCATCCCCTTTTTCCCCAGCCTGCTCACCTCTTCTGTTCATGTACTAGTGAAGGCCCCATCTATCAGACACCTTGATGGTCCCAAGGGCCCACTGGGCTCCGGCCTCCCACTCATAGCCCTCCAGACCCAAACGGTCCCATAGCGACTTCCTTCTATCACCCTAAGAGTTAGCCTCTGCCCCCACCCTCCCCCAATCCCATTCAGGGGCTGTAGCCCTGCCCTCTCCAGGCCCCACTTTCTTCACACACACCTGAGTACGTCACCTCCCCACCACCTGCTCAGCACCGGCCCCTTGTTCTTGCTCCTTTCTCTCTTACTCTCCATAGCATCCGGCCTGGGAAACTTTCTTCGGGAATGAATCCCACAAGCTTATCCCCCAGGGAAATAGACAGTGTTCCTTGATGGTAACAAATTGACTTGAGAGTCCAAACAGCACCCCAAGTTCTAGGAGGAGAATCTGGGGAGCAGTTCATAGTCCATCTCCTTCCCAAAGCCTTCCAGGTTCTGACGAGTGAATGGAGAAGGCAGGAGCACAGGAATCATCAGTCTTAGAATATTTACAGGCCACATCTGCAAATTTTACCAAAAGGCAGCTGTGGGCAGGGGTTCGAAGCTGGAGGATGAAGGCAGCTCACAGCCCACTGAAGAACACAGCTGGGGGAAGAGCTGTCTTTATCAAGAACTAACTTAGTACAAGACCTCTGGAAGAATAAGAAAATAGGAAAGTAGAAGGCGATACGGAGGTAGAGGGGAAAGGGAGAGTTAAATGTCTAATCAGCAAAGGATTCAGAGGGCAAAGGGCAAATGGTGGTCAATTAGAAAAAGAAAACACACAAAACCGCGCTCTTCTTCCAGAGGCAGGAATTGAAAGTTAATTTTTAAAGTAGACATGCAGAAATAATCTGGAAACGGGGCCGGTCCCTTGTGATGGTAGGTTACGGAACAGACTTAAGTTCCTTGTTATCTTTTCATTTACTCATCACTAGAAGTAAACACCATGCGGCTCCAGTTACAAAGGCAAACAGGTAAACAAGTCAAGAATGTAAAATAAAGAAGGGAGACCAGAATGTGAGCAGGATGGACAACTGCACTCTAACTACCAGGGTGAGACTGTGAAATGGGGTGATCAGGAAAGGCTGGCAGCCCCATGGGGGTGGTGAGGATCAGCTGGGGCAGAGGCCAGCCAGGCCACACCAGCTCCTGAAGATACAAGAATCAAGCCAATGAAAACAACAAGACAGTGAGAATTTCCCAGCAGGCCTGGACACCCTTGAGCAGAGAAAGAGGCCTCCTCTGCTTTCCCCTCCTCTGCATTCAAACGCTCAGGCCCCCTGTTGCTTATAGGAGAGAAATGTGAGTAATGCAGAGCTGCCCCAAGCAACGGTGGGCGGCCTTGGGGTTGGGGAATGCTGAGCCCAGAAACAGATACTCCTACAGGCATTGAAATCTCGGCCTCATGTACATGAGTGGTTAGGATCCGATGAGAGAACAGTGTACTCCCTGAACGCCCCAGAATATATAGGAGGGCCCCAGTTTGAGAACCCTGGCCAGAGTTCAAGGTCCTTCACTTTCAACATCAATTGCTAATGGTGGCGCTATTGGACATTTTGGAATGCAGGAGCCTTCTTCTTGCCTCCCGGCCTTGGGGTGCTATTTCCTGTGCCTGGGGTCTGTTTCCCTGGGGGTTGGGGGATCCTCCTCTCTGCACTGCAGACCCAGTCTCTGCTATGCCCCTGCTCACCAAGCAGTGGTCATGTGCCCTATGCCCACTGGCCCAAGCCCAGGGTCTGGCAGCCTGCAACGTACGCTGAGGGGGTCTGGGGGGTGAGGCAGCACAGGTGTGACAGCGCTCTTGCACAGGCTCAGCCTGCATCCTGGGGTGTGGGCTGGCTTACTCTCAGGGCCCGTGCCAGCCGCCCTCCTTCGCTAGACCAGCCGGTGGCCCAGAGCCACCCTGTGTGCTGAGGACCAGCTGGGCTTGTTTCTGCATTACCTAGAGGAGGCGAGGGGTGAGGAGAGGAACCATGTCATGGCTTCCGTTCTCTGAGGCCTAGCTAGTTTATGACATACGAGTAATTTCCTTCCCTGCCCTTCCTTTTTTCAACAAACTCCCAACTCTGTGATGGAGCCACACGGATATGAGCAAGACAATCCTTACTCTCAGAAGCCTGGGCCTAGAGATAAAGGTACAAAGACTGAGGGAGGGAGGAATCCTAACGCAAAGAGGGGCCCAGAGGCGGCCCTGGGAGCGTCAGGAGGGACAGGCGGCAATGCTGTGGCCCTGAGCTCTCACAGGGCTGACTGAGGCGTCTCAGAAGCAATGTGGTGGCCAGCGGGCAGGCAGCAGGACCCAGGGAGTGTGAGATGAGGTGGAGCTGAGCCTAATGCAGGGGTGTACTGACTGGTGATGCTGGCGAAGGGCTTAAGAGGGACTTATGCATGAGTCTGTGCAAATAACCAAGGACCTGAGGGACAGTGGGCCCCAGCCCCCTTCGCTACCTGACTTGACCAGTCTGGCTAAACATGGCCTCCACATCCTCTTGGCTCCTGGAATGAGCTGCTTATCAGCAGGCAGCCAAAGTGGCAGGAAAGACGGTGCTGCCAGCTAACATGCACCAGAGGCCCATGGGTGCCATCACCACTCTGAGCACTCTTCCTGGATCACCTCTTTTTACCTCCCCAAAACCTGTTGTTATCCTCACTTTACAGAGGGGGACTGCACATAAGGGCCAAGTAATTTGCCCACTGTCCCTCAGTGAGGTTCATGTCTGGCTCCTGTGATGGAAACCCGCTCATCCTGCGTGAGTCACCGACCCTGGATTCCTCCTCTCTGTGCCCCCTGCCCTGGCACAGCCCCTCATCTCCGTGCCCTTGTGCCTTGCTTATGGCATTCCATTTTGCCTTGAAACCTCTCTGATCCAAGCTCTGCTAAAATTGTCACAGCTTTAGGGTCCAGCTCTCGGCCTTCCATGGCTCTAGAGCACTTTTACTGATACCTGATTGGTAAAAAGTCCATTTTATTCCATTTAAAATATGTATGTTCCTCTAGTTTACCAGTTTTGACTCATAAGCTCAACTAACGCATATTTGTACAACTGCATTTTTCTAAGTCTGGACAAAATACTTGTTGAGTCCTGCTCACTTCAGATTCTGGGTGAAGAAAAAAAATAGCAATCTTTAGAAAAGGAAACTGTGTCATTATTACAAAAGTATTATATTAATTTTTTT